TGAACGCGCTCCAATTCCACAGCAGGCTGGTCAGCAGGGAGGAACTCTTTGAGCTGGTTGGACATAAAAGCCTTTATGTTAGAACCCTCAGCTTTTTCTGGAATAAGTGCAAAACAGAGACTGTTTCTCTCGAGTAATTGTCCAAATATTCGATCCTCTGGGTGAGCTGCATTATCGAAGTCTCAAGTGTCTTCTGTTTTGCCGACAGAGCTAGTTCATCCCCCACGTCTGATATACGCTGCTCAGCGTTGTTGATACGGGTGGCGAGGGAGGAAAACTCTGATTCGATTCTGTTAGTCGTGGCTTGTATTGCTGGCAGGTGATCCGTTAAGGTCTTTTGAACTGAATTTAAATCCAGGATCAATTTCTGGGCCCAGCGAGGAGTAGAGCGTTCATCTTCGCTTCGCTGGTCAGGAACCTCTTTGTCTTGTTGGCGTGCAGCAGCAGCATGGGCTTCTTCGTCTTCAAACTGTTGTTGCTGCTCGTCGAGGTGGTTTTTTTAGCCCTCGGCATGGTGAATACTAAATGCTGCCTTGGTAATACTTGGTTGAGCGGAATTAGACTCTTAAAAACGGGTTTAGGTAATATATAATGTCATCGGACTGGAATACAACTCATGGCACGTCCTACCCCACCAGAGTCATTACCGGAAGTGTATCCCCTCTTCTTTTTAACACAGAGTGGAGGTGTCTGGGCATTGAGGAGACAAGTTTCCTGAGTTTATTCTTTGGAATTTGATCCCTCTCTTGTTTAATACAGGCTTCCAGCTGCTGGAGAGTTTTGGGTTTCCTTTGACGGACTTTTCGTTTCATTATGCACCAAATGTTTTCAATCGGTGAAAGATCAGGACTGCAGGCAGGCCAGTTCAGCACACAAACTCTTCTACTACAAAGCCATGCTGTTGTAATAGCTGCAGTATGCGGTTTTGCATTGTCCTGCTGAAATACACAAGGCCTTCCCTGGAATAGATATCGTCTGGAGGGGAGCATATGTTGCTCTAAAAGCTTTATTTACCTTTCAGCATTCATGGTGCTTTTAAAACATGCAAGTGTCCCACACCATATGCACTAATGCATCCCTATACCATCAGAGATGCTGGCTTTTGAACTGAACGCTGATAACAGGAGGATGGTCTTTCTCCTCTTTAGCCCGGAGGACACAACGCCCATGATTTCCAAAAAGAATTTCAAATTTGGCCTTGTCTGACCACAGGACACTGCCACTTTGCTACAGTCCATTTTAAATGAGCCTTGGCCCACAGAATACTGTGGCGCTTCTGGATCATGCTCAACAATGGCTTCCTTTTTGCATGATAGAGTTTTAGGTGGCATCTGTGGATGGCACGGCAGACTGTGTTTACAGACAGTGGTTTCTTAAGTATTCCTGGGCCCATTTAGTAATGTCAATGACAGAATCATGCCGGTGAGTGATGCAGTGGCGTCTGAGGGCCTGAAGATCACAGGCATCCAGTAAAGGTCTTCGGCCTTGTCCCTTACGCACAGAAATTTTTCCAGTTTCTCTGAATCTTTTGATGATGTTATGCACTGTCGATGATGAGACCTTCAAAGCCGTTGCAATTTGACGTTGAGGAACATTATTTTTAAAGTATTCCACAATTTTTTTACGAAAGCCTTCACAGGTTGGAGAGCCTCTGGCCATCTTTACTTCTGAGAGACTCAGCCTCTCTAAGACATCCCTTTTATAGCCAATCATGTTACACACCTGATGCGTTAACTTAATTACTTGCTAAATGTTCTTTCAGCTGATTCTCTTATATATTAATTGTTTTTTCAGCCCTTTTCTGCCTGAGTCCCAACTTTTTTGAGACCTGTTGCAGCCAGAGAATTTGAAATAAGCTCATTTTGTGGATAAAAATGTAAAATGTCTCAGTTTCAACATTTGAAATGTTATCTATGTTCTATTGTAAATAACATATTGGCTTATGTGATCTGAAAGTTATTGCATTTTGATTTTATTCACAATTTACACTTCATCCCAACCATTTCGGAATTGGGGTTGTAATATTAGTATATATTATTATAAATATTATAATAATATATAATATATGAAATATAAAAAATGCTAAATTTGGACTCTGATCGTTTTTTTCTTTGAGGTCTTCAATTGGTTATGCCAAGTGGCATGTGCTGTTGGGTGGCTGTGCAGTATTCTTCTCTCCCTCCACTTCAGCATCTCCCAGTCCCATCATCAGAGGGAACTGCTGGTCCAAGCCTATAGCCTGACCATGCAAGCTCAGTTGCTAACATTAACTCATTTCAAAATCAAATTAATTTGATTTCAACTGTATTTTTTAGCTTGACTAATGTTTTGCCCAGCTTGCTAGGTTTGCTATAAGTGCTCTATGGAAGGGAGCATTTGTTATGCAGATTATTGATAGTGCTAAATTTCTACGCAACAGCTAAAATTAATCCCAGTGAATCAAATTCACCATGAATTGCCTCCCCAGTTTTCATATGATTGAAAGTATTTGAACCAGGGCACTATCTTGTATTTAGCTTCCCAGCAGGATAGTCAGCTTGCTTGTTACATAATGGTGACAAGTAAATTGTCTCCTGTTTCATACGGGTATGGCCGAATCGCGCTGATTCTGACTGCTTGCGAAATATTACCGTTGTTAGTAGCAATGAGAGCATGTCTGAGTGACATGACTGGAAGAATAGATGTCAGTGAAGCGTGATTTGGCCACACCCACCCAGTCCTGAGAAATTGTGAGAAGCCAAATAAGCTGTTTTTGAGCACCACTTCATTTTTTAATTTGATTTTTTTTTTGTATTTTAGTGGATACTTAATACATTAATCATTTTTGATATTCCATGTTGATTTTTAAAATTTAATATGTAGTTTCCAGAAGCGTTGAGATTTCTTATACAGTTCACTTCTAAACTTTATCTCATCTCCTGTATTAAATCTAGCATCAGACCTGATATCAAAGCTCTCCAGTCCTTACCTGTTCCTCTGTCCTTCCTGCTGCAGCTGAGACGGTATCATGTCCTCTGTGCTTATCATTCACACACAACAGACAGATACACTGCTGATCGTTTCGACAGTAAACCTCCAGCAGTTTACTGTGATGAGAGCAGATCTTCTCCTGCAGGTTTCCAGTGGGCTTCACCAGTTTATGCTTTTGAAGAGAAGGATATTCGTAATGAAGCAGGAGGTGAGTATCACAGTAAGAGGCCAGACACACCAGACAGGACTTTGCGGCTTTCTGTTTTCTCCCAGTACAGGAATCACAAACCACATCTCCAGGTCCAGCATAACAGTCAGCAGGAGGAGCAGCTTGGAGTCCTGTCTTCTTCAGTTTCTCCACCACATCAGCCAGCATGGTGTTTTTTCTTAAAACAGGCCTTGGAGTGAAGGTCTCTCTACACTGGGGACAGCTGTAAACACCAGTATGATCATCCTGATCCCAGTAGCCTTTAATACAGCTCATACAGTAACTGTGTCCACAGTGAATAGCCACCGGATCCTTAAGTATTCCCAGACAGATTGGACAAGTCAAATTCCCATTACGGAGAAGACTTGTGTGGCTCCACTGGTCCCAGCTCCCGGTGACACTGGCCTCAGCCATTTTCCTGCTCACAGTGACAAAGACGGAATGAAAATAGTTTCTCTGAAACTGTGGGACACAGACAGCTGGAGTTACTTCCTGATTCTTCTCACAGGAGGCGTGGTGTTGGACTGAACTTAGGCAGAGCAGAGCAGAAATTGTAGAAAAGCAGTAAACTTTCAGTTGATTATTATTATTGCTACTACTACTACTACTACTACTACTACTACTACTAATAATAATAATAATAATTATAATAATAATAATAAAAATCAACTTTTCCTGGCTCGTAGCAGGTCGTCTCATTCCTGCCTGTTATACAGCATTCATTCTTCTGCAAATTATTCACAGTGACAATTCAGGAAAGGAATTCTTCCCGAGGGCGCTGGGACAGTGCTCAATCTATATTAAAAAAAAAAAAACTCAGTCATCTTGCAGCCGCAAAACCGGCTCTCCAAGTGTCATATGCTACCCCAATTCATCACATTCAGATGACTGATCACCGTTAATGTAATTGAGTAGAACCGGTATTTTACACACTCATCACATTTGAATTATGAGCAAAGAAATAAGAGAACTCACCAAATCTTCTCAGGACTTGTGTCAAAGCTGGACACATATTCCACAGAATTTTGGTTCATGGTTACCTCAGCACTGAAGCTTGTTTACTTCATGCAAATTAGCCAAATGCTCCTTTTGAATCATGATTGCGCGCTTAATTTTTTCCAGGAAATAAAGTATTTATTTGGTGGGAATTCCAATGCTGGCATTGCACTGACAACTTCTGCATTCCATTTGCTGGCATTAGTGATTCCATTCCGTGTAGATATAATTGTAATGAAACCGTCAACAGCCCGGTATGTGGTGCCTTAGGACCGTCAAAGCCATAGATTGAGTCAATATAGGTGAACAGCTACATTAAAAGTATTGTAATTTATCTTTGTTTTGTTTCTTCAGATGCTTTATTTACAGGTAACAGGTGTTGTAATGGATGGAACTGGGAAGAGTGGAACACTTTCAAATACATATACTATGTTGGTATGTGTTATAGAATCGAAAACCATATGTTAACCATAATTTAACCACAACCATATTTACATAATTTAACTGTGGGGGCTGTTTAGACGATAATGGCAAAAGCCATTAACCAATAAGCGAGAGATAATGGGTATCACAGCACACAATCACCTGTCTGAGTATCCGAGTCTCCCATTTGGGATGAAAAGTGCTCCTGTTATGGATAAGTGATCAATCAACAATGTGACCCTTGGGTTGTATAATGTAATGATGCCCATTATTCATATAAATATAATGAGAGGTGACTAAGTCACCTTGAACCATGGTCCCCATATACAATACATGGATAAGTACCAGTCCCGAAAATCAGAAAACTGACATTTCCTGCCTGAGGATTCAACTGATCTCCAGCAGCAGGGTAGCCTAGTGGTAGGTTGTTTGACTGGCGACCAAAGAGTTGCTGGGTTCAAGCCCCCAGTGGAGCTTAAGATTCTGACTTGTTCTGGGAGATGAAATTGGGAAGAACTCTTGGGCTCTTCAGCAAGGCCCTTAACCTCAAAATTGTTCCAGGTGCTTTTCACTTGTTTCCCCTCTTAATTTATGACTGCTCTGTCCATCATTTTGCCCAGGATGTCCATGAAAAAGAGAAAGGGTGTTCCCGGAGAAATCTTTTCTGGTTTATTTAAGGCTAAAAAACACTTACACAATCACCAACAAGCATTATTTAAACACTGAGAATCAACATCCCTAGTCTACAGAGGTATAATGTATACGCAATTATGCACAGATTTTTACAGAATCTTCGTCTATAGAAATAAATGTACAAATGTCGGCAGGTAATACAAGTACTTTGCACAGTCCAGGCTGTACTTTAGGTATCTTTCCATCATTCTATGGGCTTCTGAATTACTGTAGCTCTACTGCCACACAGATATTACAAGTATATTTTTAAAACAATGAGGGATAAAAAATTGGATGCAAAAAGTGCCAGTCAGAGGTGTTAAACGAGAGCAGGGAAAGATTCTGTGACTAAATTGGCACTAATGCCAGTTTTCACAGTCATAGTTTTTATTTAAAGTTTTTAAGGTAAAAAAAAAAAAAGCATACATACAGTGTGTGCCAAAAAAAGGAAACCAAGAATAAATTGTTAATTCTATAACAATTGCTTAACATTCTTTGATTAAAAATAGCATTGGTGTTACATAACTATGTCTTCTATCCAATGATGTCAAGTAAGTGGAGCTTGTGCTACACTCAACTGAACAACAATGACACTTTTGGAGTAAGTCAGTAACCACTTTGCACCATATTACATAAAATGATGACAGGCCTAAAAGCAGTGAACCTGGATGATCAGTTTCAACTTTTCATTGTCAGGGCTGTTAGAGCTTTATGTTAAATAATGTGTACTGCTTTAAATGTAAACCCTACTAGTGGCATGACAGATGTGCGTAAATCACCAATTTTGACTAATTTTGTTTTCTTTGTATAAAAAAGTACACAGTTGTGTAATAAATAGTGCTAATTAGTTTTATTGATACTAAGTTTCAACAGAATACTTCTCATTTTATTCCCAGTTTTCAGGCATCGTTGTCAGAACTCATTGTTCTGTTGTCAGCAGCATGATTTGCGCACATCTGTCATGCAGCTAGCAGGGTTTACATTTAAATCAGCACACATTATCTAACATAAAGCACTAATAGCCCCGACAATGGAAAGTTGAAATTGAAGACCTGGGTGCAAGAAGTACTTTAGTCACAAAATAACACTTTTGAGATATTAAGGGTCAAAGTTTTGAAAACATGCTGCAGATACTTTTTTTAAAAGATAACATTCAGTGGCTCCTGCTGCTAGTCCCAGGGGTTATACAAAGTAGACAGACACGTTTTTGTGGAAAAATAATGCTTTATTACGAAAAAAACAAGAAAATCAGTTTTGGACTTTGGTGCTTCTTACCATAAAATGCCTGGACTTCGGTACTTATTGCAATAAAATGCATGGTCTTCGGTACTTTTACCACACAAATGCCGTTTCAATCATTTTCTGATTGCCAAACAGTCATTTTTGCTACGCTTGTCACATGACACATACTAGCAGCTGATTGGACAGTCATGGACTTAGGCACTTGTTCCTGATAACGTCAAGGACTTGAGTATTTCTTGCACAAAAATTCAGTAGATTCAGGGAAGGCCGTATATCAGTATTGAGGACTTGAGTACTTATATTTGGAATTTTTTGGCTTTAAAGTGATGCACATGACACTCTACTTTATGGTAGTAGTGTCAGCTCATTTTTTGGAAAATGTGACTTAAGTACTTCTTGCACCCAGGTCTTCAATTGATCATCCAGGTTCACCGCGTTTAGGCCTGTCATCATTTTATGTAATCTGGCGCAAAGTGGTTACTGACTTACTCCAAAAGTGTCATTGTTGTTCAGTTGACTGTGGCACAAGCTCCAGTTTCTCGACATCATTAGATAAAAGACATAGTTATGTAACACCAAATGCTATTTTTAATAAAAGAATTTTAAGTAATTGTTATAGAATTAACCATTTATTCTTGGTTTCCTTTTTTTGGGACACACTGTACAACAACATGTGATACACTTGTAGAAAGCTCACCAGAATTATAGAAAAAAAAAAACACTAAAGGCATGCAATTTCAGTGAAGAAATCAGCTGGTTAAATGAAAGAAAACACTTCAATAACCCCTTCCATGCAGGCCAGCCAGCCTCAGATTGATAGACTGATAAATTATCACAATCTACAGAACCATTTTCTCTCAACAGAGTGATTACTAGACAGCATATATTTAAAACTCCTGGGTGGACAAAGGAGAAGAAAAAGAAGATAATCTTATTTTCTCATCCACTATGTAGTACATCTTGACATATTCAGTGTCTGATCCTTAATTTTTGTTCTGCTCCTCCAGCGGTGGAATGACCAGTCAAGTTAGTGGACCTGTTCTCATGCCAGATCGCACAGTTGTACAGAACAATCCATATTAACCCAAAACCCAGGATAGAGGGGCTGAGTGAATGTGGTCTGGACTCTGTGTAGGAGGATCATTGTGTCAGAGACGCTGTAAAAGGACAGCGTTCCTGCCCTGTAATCCAGGTACACTCCTATTCTGGAGGAGGAGGGAACGGGGATTATAATGCTCTTACAATTGTGCCAGAAGGAGAAACTCCTGGGGCTGCAGCGCACTCTCCAGGACAGGTTATTACGTCCAAAAGCGCTATTGTTATTTTTTCCTTTCCTGATGATATTTTTGTATGCCACTGCTATTGAAATTGCATCATTCCCGCTCCACTCAGCCTCCCAGTAACAGCGTCCAGACAGACCCTCTCTGCACAGCACTTGGGTCCAGTGGTCAAATCTCTCTGGATGATCAGAATATGACTGTATCATTTCCACCCGGGCCACCTTTCTGTTCCCCTCAGACAAACGGAGGTTTCTGTGCGCTGTATTGGGGTCCATTATGAGTCGACAGGAATCTTTTGGAAAAGAACGTAAACAAAGATTCAGTGGAATTCTTTATCCTTTACTACTTCCTGGAAATTTACCGTTACCAAATCAAAGATGATGTGAAAACATTCTTTTAAAAATTAATTTCCATGAATATCAAATTTGCAGATACAGTGCTGTGAAAAAGTTAGTGGCCACCTTATGATTTCACCTTTAAAAAGAAATGTTGCACTAGATTTAGGACTTGCACTACCAACTACACTATTCTCTGACAGTGGAGATGCGAAGGCTGTCCCGAAATGCTTTTGGTTTGCCAGAAGTGCTGAGGGGATGGAGTGAGGTGGTTGTTTGTGAGCATGTGCAAACAATAATTCACACATCACAGACTACAAATAAGGATGTCAAAACTGAACGCAGTCTCCTGTTAGCAGGCATTGAGGTGGAGAGTGATACTGAATCACAACATACAGAGGGAGTTGTAGGACTTCTCACCAGCTAAGTCTCCAACATCACAAAACATTTGGATGGTAGAAGTGGCCCAGCACTGTATATATTTGACTGGTGCATTCCAGCCCCAGTAGCTGAAGCAGATGCAGGTCTCACTGGTGCCCAACACTGTTTGTAGTGGGAAGCCAGTGGCTACATGGAGCTCAAAAACTCTCCAAGGCTCCACGGGGAAGGCCTTGAGGCTAGTGGTGCTTTTCCAGCCAGCAAATGTGCAGTATAGCCAATTGGAAATTTATCATGAGCCATCAGAGATGGCTTATCCCTCCCATGAAAAATTTTAAGTTGATTGGGCAAACTGGGCAGGAGTTTGGACAATATCTTTGCTATAGCGCCACCTATCCATAGATTTTCTACAAATTTGGTAGACTGGAGTCTCATAGGTCTCATAGCTTGTAGATGAGGAGTCTTAAAGGGGAATGGTACTGGTCAGCCATTTGCACCATATCTGCAATAATTTACTTAAAATTGTTGGTTGGAATCATTTTTACTTGTGTTTATCCTGCACCAACTCTGATATGTGTATTTTAATTTAACTTTAAATAAGTAATGGGCTGCGCCATTAGACCTTTGGATCTCTGGTGTGGAAATCCTGTTTGTGACGTTGTGTTGTTGATATGTTGCTGTTTTCCAACGAACTGTCTTGGACAAGGTAAGTTACCTGGATACTGTCAGCAATCATTTCAAAGGGACAAAGAGACTTCACAGTAAATATAAGCAGAATTGGAATGCTCTTGAACACAACTTTGATCACAAGACAGCATAACTGCTGGAAGTGGGGGTGCTGGAGGTACTGCAGCACCCCCTGTTGGCGCAGCAGCACCCAAAAATGTATTCATCCAAAATTTAAACTTTGATCACAAGACAGCATAACCGCGGGAAGTAGGGGTGCTGGAGGTACTGCAGCACCCCCTGTTGGCGCAGCAGCGCCCAAAAATGTATTTATCCAAAATTTATAAAATTTATGAAAATGGATAAACATTCATTAGAAACAGTATTATTTTAACATTAAGCCATAAATGACAGCAAAGTTTGTGTCTTTTTCCAGGGCAGTGACAAAATTTTTTATTCAGACTATGTAAAAAACCAAGGGGTTCTTGTCTCTAAGCACGTTTTCATAGCACAGCTGCGGATGTGAGTATCTAAGTGCACAGCATTGGAGTGTTCGGTGATTCCGTGCTGTCAAACGTAATTGCCAAGTCAGTAAAGTGAGCAGGCGTAACAATATGAATGATTTCATTTATTGTATTTGATGAATGGCTTTATTATGTAGCGACTCTATTGCTACATCTAGCCTTCATGTAATGCTACAGAATAAACAATAAACTAGTGAAGGCCGTTGTTGGTTAACTAAAGTTGGATAACGGGCATGTATTCGGTAACGATTGAAGGCGACATCCTATAATCATGCACGGAGCGAACACTTGCTTTGCTTTTTTGCATTAAAATGTTCAAGATCTACCTAAACTGAGTTGCATATTTCCATTACTTTGAATATCTTACACCAATTCACGGT